ATGGTGGTGGTGGTGATGCTGCTGCTGCTGATGATGGTGGTGGTGGTGGTGATAATGATGATGATGATGATGAGGAGGAGGAGGAAGAGGAGGAGGAGGAGGAGAAGGTGGAGGAGGAGGAAAAGGAGGAGGAGGAGGAGGAGGTGACGAGAAGGGAAAGGATGAGGAGGAGGAGGATGAAGAGGAGGAGGAGGAGGAGGAGGAGGGGGGGGGAGAAGGAGGAGAGGGAGGAGGAGGATGAGCAGGATGAGGAGGAGGAGGAGGAGGAAGAGGAGGAGGAGGAGGAGGAGGAGGAGGAGGAAGAAGAGGATGAGGAAGACGAGGAGGAGGAGGAGGAAGAATACGAATAATAATTACTAATACTAATCATCATAGTATTAATAACACCATACGAAGACAACTAAGACGACTACTAATACACATAATGATACAAATGACAAGGATACACAGACCACTACTAATACGAAGCAAACTAATATGAGGAATCGGAGTAATAATAACACGTGCAATAATAGTGGTAACATCATTTCGAATACTAGTAAGACTAAACAAACTCATAATACGACTAATAAGAAGAATCTTACCAACAATGATATACATAATATTAGTACTAATCGCAAGAACAGGAATGAGACTGATAATATTAACCGCAGTGATAATGAGAGTATGAAGAACATCGTATAAATACCAATGCTATTAATACTACTAAGACGAGACAATAATACGACTACGCCGACGTATAACACTACCACTAATAATGATATATGTAAAACGCCAAGGATGAGTAATACTTATACTAGGAATACTATTCAGAATAATAAGGATACTGATCATACTAATTATAATCTTACTATTCATAATTATAAGAAGAGGAGGAAGAGGAAGAGGCATACTAATATTAATGAGAGAAATACGAATACGAATAATAATAACAATAATATTATGAATAGTAATGATAAGACTATTATGAACACTAATAATACGAACACTTATACTAATAATATTAATACGAATAATACTAAATAATAATAATAATACTAAGAAGACGAAGCAGAAGAGGAGGCGGAGGATGAGGAGGAGGCGGAGGAGGAGGAGGAGGAACAGGAGGAGGAAGAGGAGGAACAGGATGAGGAGGAGGAGGAGGAAGAGGATGATGAGGAGGAGGTGAGGGAAGAAAAGGTGATGGATGATGATGATGATGATGAGGAGGAGGAGGAGGAGGAGGAGGAGGAGGAGGAGGAAGAGGAGGAGGAGTAGGATGAGGAGGAGGATCAGGAGGAGGAGGAGGAGGAGGAGGAGGAGGAAGAGGATACCGCACTGCATTGGCGACGCCGCGCAAGTCTCCCACCGCGTGGCGGGCACAGAAGAAGGGAGATTCGGAGGCCGAATCACCAGGCGCCAGAAAGTCGCCAGCCCCCACCCGAGGACCGCGGGGCCAACGCTGGCACAGTGGGAACAGGGAGGAGGGGGGACGCGAGAGTCAGCAGTGCCACGGGGAGCACACCTGTTGGGTGCTCCACTTTCGTGACGCTGGTCCCTCCAACCTCGTTTGAGACAGAATCGTGGCTCAGACGCCCGTCCCAGGTGACTTCGGGGTCACAAACATGGAGAGGGCGAGGGGGCGGGAGTCGCCTGGTCCCGCGGATGCCGACCCCTGCGCCTGCGGCCGTCAGCGCTTCCGATTTTCAAAACGCTTCGCGCAGCAGGAGGACAAAAGCAGAATTTTCATCACGGGGCTGCCGTTTTCGTCTCGACCGCGCTGTGCTGCAGAGGCGGGGCGATGACAAAACGCGAGACAACGAAGACAAGCTTACAGTCAACCCGCACAGTAAGGATGGGCAACCTTCCAAAGGGTATCCTTGCATCCTTGCCTCCTCGGTCCATCATTGGCCACTCTCTTTGGCCGCGCCCCGTTCGAAAAGCTTCGAATGGGCGTGCAAGGCCCTTGTTCGGGTCGAGCCCTGGGTCAGCCAAATGTCTGTGACGGCATGCTTGCAACGGGATGGCGGCATTGAGCTCACTGAAGGCAAACATCCACCCTACCTTCAACCTGGCACAAACCCTACCCAACCCTACACAACTCGGCCACGCGCAGAGGGGGGCATGGGGGAGGGGGTAAGACTTCTTAGAAGCACCCCTGCTTCTTAGAAGGTGCGGGCCCTCTCCGTAGATGTAAAGCTGGCGGCTTCTAAGAAGTAGCCTGCTTCTAAGAGGCCTGCCCCCCTTTGCGCGCTGCCAATCAGCCCCACTCAAGCCAGTTGCGTTTCGATGACTCTGGCTCCTCGAGCGGACCCCCAGAGACAGTCCGGTGTACTCCCGAGGAGGGGACCGAACGTGGGCCCCTCCCCCCCGGGGCCACAGCTGGGCACGGTGGAGGCCTGCCCCCCATCGGCCCGCTTCCTGGAGGGTTCCAAAAGGGGGTTTTTGGGGATGGGGTTTTCCAGAGAGCCCACCAGGGGCCTCGGAACCTCGTCAAAACAGGGGGTGCGAAGCCCCTGGGGGACCTCTCATGGAAAACCCCCTCCCCCCAAACCCCTTTTGGAACCCTCCAGGCTTCCATATCGATTCTGGCGGGTCCGATCCGGCTCGAGTCCCCCCTTCCGGCGATCCGGTGCTGCCGATGCTTGCGTGCGCCATGGGGGAAGCGGGTCCCGAGAGAGAGACGGGTCCCGACGCCTTTCGCCGTCTTCGGGCTCTCGTGGCCCTCCACGGGCCCCGGGACTGTCAGAAGACGATTGGGGAGGAACAGGTGGTCCCGGGAGCAGGGCCCCAGGGGGCTCAGGACCCGTTCCCTTCGGGACCCGTCTCCCCCATGCTGCGATGCTCTGGCGATCCGCTTCCGTCGGTGCTCGCGTGGCGCCGTTATGTGCATCCCGGTGCGGCCGAGCCGACTCCGTGCCGAGGCTCGGCGGCGAGCGCAGGGGGCGGGGAAGGCAGAGGGGGCGGGCCTTCTCAGGGGGCTCGGAGGGCCTCGGGCCCTCTGGGAAGTCTCCCGGGCCTCCTCCGAAGACGCGGGCGGCTGCTCAGAAGGCCGGAGGGCTTCTGAGGAGCCCCGCCGCCCTCTGAGGAGGCCTGCGAGGCTCGCCACGCCCGCTGGAGGAGGGCCCTGCTGCGGGCTCGCGCGGAGGCCAGCTCGGCCCGACGCGCACACTGGCGCGGAGCCGAGCCAGCGGGCGCCGCGGGCGCGGCCCGACGCGCCCTCTGGCGCGGGGCCTGGCAGCCTGCGCGCCGCCGACGCCGCTGCCGCCGCCTCGACGACGCCCTGAGAGCAGGCGGGCGGGCGGCGGAGCGGCGACCTTCGACCACGTCGTCAGGGGAATGTCCAGGGAATGTCCCCTCCTCCTCCTCCTCCTCCTTCTTCTTCTCACTCCCCCCAGACACGATGCTTAGTTCTATATGTGCCAGCCTTCATGCAGCCGCGGAGTCACGGGGGGGGTTTTCTCGCCGGAGTCTTGTTCCATGCTCCGCAGCCTTTTCAGGGTTCAGCCTGAGTCCGCCAGAGGACGATCACGTTACTGAACTTCGCCTAGCGCTTAAGAAAAAGTTCAATTCAGAGAGCGCACCGCCGAGATGCGGCCCGATCCGACGCACATTCAATCTGATTCCCCTCGACCAGGCGACCAGGCAAAGCCAGAGCACGTCAAGAGCCGATCTGCGCGTCAGGTGAAGCTCTGTGGTCGCGCTCGCTCCTTCTTCAGGGGCAACGATGGGGGGGGCAGGCATATGGGGGCATGCAGCTGCCCCCAGCCGCCGATCGATCGCCGATAGGGGCCCGATAGCCCCAGCCTGTCCAGGAACGTGCGGATTCACGATGGGGGGCCTATCGTCGATCTGTCGGCGATGCATCGCCGATTCCAGGTCGATGCGCCCCCCCCCTATGCTAGTCCCGCCCCTATCGTTGCCCCTCCGGGGAGGCCGGGCAGTGCCAAGGTTGGCGGCGCCCGCAAGGGGGTCGCGCGAGGGGGGTGGGCTTCTGTGCAGGCGCGCTGGGGCTTCTAGAAGGAGGCAGGGAGGGTCTTCTTGGAAGCCCGCACGGTCGCCAAGTAGCCTACTCAGAAGCATCTGGGCCTCCTAAGAAGGTCCCTGCCTTCTAAAAAGCCCGCTCCGTCTTCTGATCTCGGCGTTGCCCCAACACACTCATACCATATGTGCGTCGCCCCCCCCAGGGGCGACGCGCGCACCGAGAAATCTTACAGCATAGGCGTCGTGGTGGGCGCTTTTTGGCCACACCGCTCGGGGAACGATCTGCTACAAGACGGGTGTACTCAATGTTCCGATCGGACGCGCGCCTCCAAGTCGGATATATAGTACTGAGATGTCTTTGCGCCTCCCATTATCGTTGCCCCTGACTGCTCCTCGCTCCCCCTCCTCGCTCCTCCTCCTCCTTCTCCTCCTCCTCCTCCTCCCCCTCCTGCTCCTCCTCCTCCTCCTCCTTCTCCTCCTCCTCCTCCTCCCCCTCCTGCTCCTTCGTGTTCTTCTTCTTCTTCTTCTTCTTCCTCCTCCTTCTCCTCCTCCTCCTCCTCCTTGCTCCCCCCTCCAAACAAAAAAAAACATTCGATCCGACTGCCCGACTCGATGCGGACTGGGCCTGCCCCCCCCGCCCGCGGGAGCCCACGGGAGCCCCCAGGGAGGAGCCCCACCCACCGGGGCCACCGCAGGCCGAGGGCCGTCGGGGGGCCCGCGCCGGGCCCCATGGGGCCGTGGAGCAACGACTCGGGACGTCACCGCCCACCAAACCACCCCAAGTCAGCCCGAAGGCTCCCGATTTGCCCTCCATTTTTCCAGTGTGGGGGGGTTCGGGAAAAAACAGAGCGGATTTCATTCGGAAAACGAGAGGGTGGGCGCGGGGGGTCCTGCAGGATTTCGTTCCAGATTTCGAGGCGACTTCCGTGCGGATTCTCTTTTTGGCCAGGGCCGAAGACCAGAAAGAAGCCACGCGAAGTTCACTTCGTTTGTCGCACGCCGCTTCGGGCAAAAATACAAGCGTAAACCCACGCAGAAATCCGCTGCAGCACGTCTGCAAGGCTGGTGCAATGAGACGTCACCGCCCACCAAACCACCCCAACCCAACCCGAAGGCTCCGATTTGCCCTCCATTTCCAGTGGGGGGGGTCGGGGAAAATTGAAAAAACACATACGAGACCCGTACCCCCCCAACCCGAAATTCGGGTCTTCAGGTTGGGTTGGGGTGGTCTTGTAGGTAGTCAGGATGAAAAGAGAGGCTGCATGCCCTGAGATCTTGGTGTTGCTTTTCTTTGTCACGCGCTGGGCGTCTTCGCATAGCCGTTGCGGACAAATCACGATGGGGGAGACTTTTGCCGGTTTTCGGTCTCGGGGGTCCTCGCCGCGCCCCAGGGCCGTCGACAAACGACTCAGACTGAAGAGCCCGTCTTGGGGAAAGGTTCGAGGCCTCTGGTGGCTGACGCTGCGAAAGGATTCGCAGATCTGGTCCTTGCAATTTTTTTACACCAGGCGTTTTCGCCTGGTTTCGGGCCTCGGGACCATCACAGATCGATCGGGCTCGATCGAGGTCCAGGGCTTCGGTCATTTTTGTTTTTTTGGGTTCCCCCCCCTGTTGCACTTTTTCGCGACGTCGGATCTCAGGGTGGTCCATCAGCCTCTGACGGCGGCGCGCCGAAGGGAGAAGTGAGAGGGCCCCTCTCAGAGAGGGGGCATGCCTTCTCAGAAGGCGGCGGGGATCGGTATCGTCGTTTAACCCATCCCCATCCCCATCCCCATCCCCTTCGAGACCCCCACCAAATTACCCCCCCAGTTGGGGATACAGCCCTCGAAGCCCGCAGGGAACGGCCTATACTCCCATCTAGGGGGGTAAATCGGCCAGAGGGGCCCAGGCCACGCCGCTGGGGATGGGGATCGGTTAAACCATACTCAAGGGGGCAGGCCTTCTCAAAAGGCGGCGGGGATGCCGAGGACGCTCAGAGAGTTTCTCAGGATGCCACATGCCTTCCGAGCCTTCGGAGGGTGCCTGCCGCCTTGGCCTTGCCCCTGAGCCGCTTCCAACATCAAAAGTCGGGCGTGTCCCTTTACAGGAGGAATATACAGAAATAGTAAGAAAATAGTCGGGGGACGTTTCTTTTTTTTTTGGGGGGGGGGTTGGGGGACACGCCCGACCTGATTCTAGCATCAAGGACCTCAGGGCTCTGACTCACAGTGGGGATGCGTATCAAGAAACCATATGCATTTTGACAGAGTGCCTTGGGCTGGCTTTCTTGCGGTCGCGTCCGCGCTGTTTTTTTTGGAGGCACGATGCCGGATCACTGTGTATCGAGGTCGAACAGATGTGCGGAGAGCCATGGGGTGGACACGAGCACGCGAAGCATATTTTCAGCGATGCGTGGCTTTTCACACGTATGCGTATGAGGCTCGTGCACGTTTCTGAAGAGCGCGTACGGGCTTAGCATATTTTGATCGCGATCAGGCGTGTGTGGAGGCATGCTGAATGACGGGACACCAGCTGTCCGTTATCGCGTAGGTGGAGGAATGTTCATTGCAGTCCAACCGCGGCATGAAGGACGCGCTGCTTCGTCAAGCCGCTCTTGCATCCTTGCTTGCTCGACCCCTCTTCAGGCATGTGTTCCGCACTGGCTCAGCTGCGGGTAGCTCAGCACGGGGGGGGTGCAGAGCGGGGCTCGAGCTGAACGGTGTTTTGCGGCGACTTCGTGGACCGTTCTCGTTTTGATGTTGTTCGCAGGAGAGGCAGAAGCGAACAGCAACGAACACAAAACGAAAGCGAAAACGAAGACAACGAGCACAAAACGAACACAAAGGACAAAGAACACAGAACGAAAGCGAAAAGCACTGTTTAGCTCGAGCCGCCTGGGTCTAAGGGTCTTGCATCACCGGCTTGCATGTTTGCTCCTGTGTCGATAGCATGCGCTCCGTGCCTGCTGGGCCACAGTTCAGCTCGCCCTCTAGCTTGGACTCCTGTCCTCTCCCCCCCTCCCTGGACCAACAGCGACACAACCACGGGGTACAGCATTGACTGAGATGGCCAGACCCTGAGATCCTGGCGACCCGACTTTTTCGAGCCGGGCGTGTTCGTCCGGTTTCGGGCCACGGGACCATCACGGATCGATACTCCAGATTTCGTAGTAAAGGGAGGGGGGTCTCATTTCGTGGGGGGGTCTCTTCCAGGCTATTTTGGAGGGCCTGGGGGGTCTGGGGACGATGTTTTGGAGGGTTCTCCCACGGTGGAGGTCTGAAATGGCTTGTCTTGGAGGGTCCAGACCCCCTCCCTTTTATTACGAAATCTGGAGTAGCGTCTGGGAGTCGATGAGGTATCGCCGATTTAGCGTCGATTAGCGTCGATTTCGCGTCGATCAGCGTCGATTCGCGTCGATGAGCGTCGATTCGCAAGAGCCGAAATGGTGGTATGGGAGGCGCGGTCTCCAGTCTCCAGTCTCCCCCCAGGTGGTCGGGTGCCAGAGCAGCGCGCTGGCCCCCCTGAACGTGGACGTGAACCACTTCGAGGGCTGGATGGTGGCACGGGCTCTCTCAAGCGAGCTCGCCCTCGCAGCCGCGTGCGGTCTGCGCCTTCTCCCCTCCTCGCCCCGCCCCTGCCTCTTCCTCCTCCTCCCATCTCCCTCCTCCTCCTCCTCCTCCTCCTCCTCCTCCTCTTCGTCGTCCTACTCTCTCTGCTCCTCCTCGCCCCCGAACCAGTGTTTTACGTGATTTGGCGCTCCTGCCCGAAGACTCTGTTGTGAGATGGTTTGCTTGATCGCCTTCGTTCGATTACTGTGTTGCTCACGCTGTCCAAAGCGCTGGGTGGAGCAATGCACGACGTATCCGATCAGATTGCCGTTCGGTGCTTGTGGCAACTTGTTTACCGGAGCGGTTGTAGCATCATCCATCTTACGTTTATTTTGATGCAGTTGGCGCGGAGGTGTTGGCAGAAGAAGCGAGAATTCAGTTTGGCGTCAGCTGATGTCCCCAGCGCTTTTGATGAAATCAAGCGCTCCAAACTCTTGGTGGTTTGGTGTCAAGAGGTGTGCATGCTTCCATTGATGCTTGGTTCATTCGTCATATCCGTGCCGGTCGTCATCGTTTGTGTTTGCGTCACCTGCAAGCACAGGCCGAACCAATCATTGTAGCTATTCCTCAGGGAAGTCGTTACGGTCCAGCCTTCTTTATCGCTGTCATGGAGATGCATTTGCTCCAGGTTGTGAGTTATGTCATAATCGTGATTTGGGTGTCCAGGTTGTCTCCATTAACCCATGCCATCGCACAACACCAGATGGTGTTCGTCGTATCCGTCGTGTTGCGCACCGTTCGTTGTGTACAGCGACAAGAAATTATTTGCAAGGTTACCCTTGCATCCTTCCCCTTCGGCCTATCCTTGCCCGCTTTCGCTGGCCGCACCACGTCCGCAAGTGTCGACATGGCCTTCCAAGGCCCTTGCATCCTCATCGTGCGTCCTTCATTATACGGGTTGACTGACTTCATCCTCTATTCGAAAACGCATTGGCTGAGCTCGGTATGAGTCTGCCAATGAGCCGAGCGAAGTGGATATCCCAGGGTCCTGGTCATACAAACCGTTCGTGGGCGGAGGCGTCGGGTCTGCCTTTTTAAACAGTCATCGTCGATGCTTGGGAGTCCACCTCAACGCATCTGGCAGAACAGAACTCGACATTCGATGCAACACGTATTCAATACGCACGGATATTGCAAAGGCCAGGATGTACCGTCGTGTCGGTCATCTACGAGACAGAGCTGGTTCGATCTCATCCACCGCACCTCAGTGGGCACCAGGACTTGGGCATCGCCAGTGTGGAGAGTGAGTCAGAGAGCTCTGCAACGCATCTGTGAGGCCCAGGATGCATGCTTTCTCAAGTGCCTCCGCCTCCCCCAAAAGGCGAGGTGAAACTGATGCGAGGTCTGCACGGCGGCAGCGCAAAGCGCTCCGCGGGCAGAAGATTCGATCGGGTATCGTCAACCTCGACGTCATAGTCGCTCGTAGGATTTGGCGGCATGCCGTGCATATCGCCAGGAGCTGCCGGAGAGAGCCAGAACTTCAAATTCGCCGAGTTCTACAGTGGAATCGGCGTGGGGTTGCAACTGCAAACCTCGGCCCTGGTTCAGGCGGGCGCTTGACGGCTAAGGATTTCCGACAAGGTTCACTAACTGGCCTTGGTAATTACAAATCACAAGGTTGTTCTTTTTTCGGATGCGAGCTAGATTGGTTCGAAGATGCGCAAGACCGTCGCAACTGAAAGGCTGCGGAACCAGCGTTTCTGGAATGCTTCTTGGTTGGACTTCTTCGCACTGTTGTAGGTGTCGGGCCTCCAGGTCTCTCATGACGCAGTTCGCTCGTTCGTTCTTATCTTCCTCCTCCTTCCGTTCCCCCCTCCCCTCTCCCTCCCGCCCTTCCACGGGGGGAGTTTTTGAGCCCCACTGTTGGCACTGGGGCCAGAGATAGCCCCCCCGAGGCCGGCATGGGCTAGCACGCTGGGTTCGAACAATGGAAGCACCAATTTGCCAGCAGCTCAGGCCGATCTTCGTCGTCGTCGTCGTCGTCGTCGTCGTCGTCGTCATTGCTGGCGGCGGCGGCGACGACGACGACGACCACACCTCCAGGCCGCCCAGATGGGCCAGAGCACATGGGGCCGCAAGCTGGAGCCCGATTTGCTCCATCCCGCCGTCGCCGATGCATCGTCGATGCATCGGCGGTGCAGCGCGATGCTGCAACCCCATCTGTTCGGGGCGAGGGGCAGGAGGACGAGGAGGAGTTGGAGGAGGAGGAGGAGGACCAGCGTAAGCCGAAGACTCATCAATGATGTTGGAATGCACACTCCATCCAAGCTTCCTCGTCATAGCCCCCTATACAGGGGTTCATTTCAACTGAGGGAATTGCCCCGTTGGTGAGGGACAACCGTGCGAACATCCTGTATCGTGCCAAACACCATTGTCAGGGCGTCAACGCCACGAGTTAACCTGACTGTTGCGTCTTGGCGATCTTGAGTCGTGGTGAAAACCGTTCTTGGAGTCTCAACAGAGAGAATCAACGCAACTGGTGCGCCTTGACAGTCCTGAATCATTCGAAGGCATCATTTCTGGTACGTTAACAATGGGAATCCGTGAAGCTCTTGCGATTTGTTTCCCAACCATCCTGTGGTGTTGGGTCCTCGTTTTGAAGAGACAGCGCCCCGCGTCTCCTCCTCCACCTCCTCCTCTTCCTCCTTCCTCCTCCCTCTTTTCCCTGCTCCCTCCTCCGCAGTTTGAATGCGTCTCCCCCGGCCAGTGCAGCGTTTCGTGGCCCCATAGGGAGCTCCACCGAAGGTTCCAGTGGCGGAACTCGCATGCGGTTCCTGCGCCAAGTGCAGCGTTCGTGGCCCCATAGGGAGCTCGGTCCCAGTGGCGAAATTTGCATGCGGTTCTTGCGCCAAGTGCGGTGTTTCGTGGCCCATAAGGAGCTCCACCAACGGTCCCAGTGGCAGAATTCGGATGCGGTTCCTGCGCCCAGTACAGCGCTCCGTGGCTTCATAGGAAGCTCCATCAAAGGTCCCAGTGGCAGAACTCTAAGGCGGTTCCTGCGCCCAGTACAGCGTTTGGTGGCCCCATGAGGGAGCTCCACCGAAGGTCCCAGTGGCGGAACTCCATGCGGTTCCTGCGCCCAATGCAGCGTTTCGTGGCCCCATATGGAGCTCCATGGAAGGTCCCAGTGGCGGAACTCATGCGGTTCCTGCGCCCAGTACAGCGTTTCGTGGTCCGATGAGGAACTCTACACGAAGGTCCGAGTGACGGATTTCGCATGCGGTTCCTGCGCCCAGTAGAGCGTTTCGTGGCCTCATAGGGAGCTCCACCGAAGGTCCCAGTGGCGGAACTCGCATGCGGTTCCTGCGCCCAGTACAACATTTCGTGGCCCTCCCAGTGGCAGAACTCGCAGGCTGTTCCTTTGCCCAGTGCAGCCTTTGCGTGGCCTCATAGGGAACTCCCCGAAGGCCCCAGTGGCACCGTCCGCATGCGTCACCCCCACCCAGAACAGCGTGTCGTGGCCCATAGGGGGCTGCACCAGAGGTCCCAGTTGCGGAACTCGCATGCGGTTCCTGCGCCCAGTGCGGTGTTTCGTGGCCCTATAGGGGGTTCCACCGAATGCCCCAGTGGCAGAACTCGCATGCGGTTCCTTCACCCAGTGCTGTGTTTAGTGGCCCCATAGGGAGCTCCACCGAATGTCCCAGTGGCGGACCTCGCATGCGTTCCCGCCACCCAGTACAGCGTTTCGTGGTTCCATCAGAAACTCCACCGAAGGCCCCAGTTGCGGCCCCGCCACATTGCGGCGCACCCCTCGCACTTTTCGCTGCCCCGTAGTGCGCTCCGCCAAACGCACCAGTGGCAGCAGTAGTAGTAGTAGTGGTAGTAGTAGTCGTCGTCGTCGTCGTCGTCGTCGTCGTCGTCGTCGTCGTCGTCGTCGTCGTCGTCGTCGTCGTCGTCGTCGTCGTCGTCGTCGTCGTCGTCGTCGTCGTCGTCGTCGTCGTCGTCGTCGTCGTCGTCGTCGTCGTCGTCGTCGTCGTCGTCGTCGTCGTCGTCGTCGTCGTCGTCGTCGTCGACGTCCGTCCGTCGTCGTCGTCGTCGTCGTCGTCGTCCGTCGTCGTCGTCGCGACGTCGTATAGTTTTATCGTTTATGTCGTCGTAGTCGTAGATCGTAGTCGTAGCAATAGCAGTCGTAGTGGTTAGTAGTAGTAGTTAGTAGTAGTAGTAAGTATCGCAGTAGTAGTAGTAGTAGTAAGTAGTGTTGTAAAAAGTAGTAGTAGTAGTATTATTAGTAGAGTAGTCGTAGTAGTAAGTAGTAGTAGTATAAGTAGGTATAAGAAGTAGTAGTAGTAGTAGTACGTAGTAGATTCGTCCTCAAGAAGTAGTAATAGTGGAAGGTCCGTAGTAGTAGTGGTTGTGGTAGTAGTAGTATAGTAGTAACAGCAAGTATAGTATATATAGTAGTAGTAAGTAGTAAGTAGTAGTAATCGTAATGGTTGTATGTATAGTAGTAGTCGTAAATAATAGTAAGTAGTAGTAGTAAGTAAATTAGTATTAAGTAGTAGTAGTAGTCTAAATAGTAGGTAGTAAGTAGTAGTAGTAGTAGTATAAGTAAGTAGTAGTATAAGTATAATGAAAGTAGTAGTAGTAGTCCCGTAGTATAGTAATAGTATAAGTAGAATAGTAGTAACCCAAACCCTAGAAAGAAACAAATTTTTAATTAGTCGTCATTCCGCAGTAGTAGTAGTAGTAGTAAGTAGTCGTAGTCGCAGTAAGTAAGTAATTAGTATTAGTAGTAAGTAGTCGTCCGTCGCACTAGTAGTTAGTTTTAGCAGAAGTAGCCGTAGTAGTAGTAGTAGTAGTAGTAGTAGTAAGTAGTAAGTAGTAAGTAGTAAGTAGTAGCAGTAGTAGTAGTAGTAGTAGTAGTAGTAGTAGTAGTAGTAGTAGTAGTAGTAGTAGTAGTAGTAGTAGTAGTAGTAGTAGTAGTAGTAGTAGTAGTAGTAGTAGTAGTAG